GTTGTTACCTATTCATGGTCGAAATTACGACCAAAAAGGGACCTATTTTGCCCTTTCTTAACGGATTTCTCCGTTTTTTTTTTCGCCTCTGGTGTACCACTGACACCACGCCTTCTCTAAATTTCTCTTAAAATATTGTAACCTCTACCTTAAACCTAAAAAAAGTTCCCCAAAATTTTCCTTTTTTCCATAAATTCTCTTCAGTCTGCTAACTGGTGATACCATTGTACAGTACAGCTGATTTTCGAAGTCGAAACCATGCACCAGCAAAGCAACGCTGAAATAGCCTGAACAAGGGCAGCCCCAAGGTGCTATGTTCGGAACTACACTCGGGGTGGAAGGATTTCCTATCTTGGCGACAAGCCTTTCTTCCCGAGAAATTTCGCAAAATCTGACCACTCGCCGAGCCGGCCGCTAAGGCTAAAGTCATGTGGCAGCCATTTTGCTTCCTTTTGTATCAAATCCTTTGAATGTGAACGTTTCAGAACGGCGAGCTCGTCACTTTCAGTTTGTTTGCAAACTCTTACAACGTTGTAATTTTGTAAGTCCGTGACCTGGACTTTTTTCAGCTGCCCAGGACATTCCTTAATATAAAGTTCACACCTTCTAAATTGTTAAATCAAAATCTACAAAAGGCCCGCAAAGCGGCCTGGTAACAATATGAGCTTCAGCAGGTGTCCGTCATTTATTTAAGTCTCTACTTCCATGGTGGCCCCATTACATTCACTATCCATCCTTTCTTCTGCTTATTTTTCTTAATCTTCCTTCCAAAATAATATGATCTTCAGCAAATCTTTGCCTGCCTAAGTATACAGAAGAGTGGAAAAGAAAATGGTCGTAAATAGTCCATAGCGGGCGAGACAAGTTGGTGTCATCACATTTCTAGTTGCTGAAGGAACGTGTTCTCGATCGCCGCGATGAGTATAGTTAGCTGGAAAAATGAAGGCAATTCAAGATACGGAATGAAACCGGTGCTTCAAGGGAATTTGGAGCAAATGGACTCAATCCATCACAAATGGTCGTCAAATATGTATACTCACTTGGAAAAGCCATTTGTCTGCTGACCGTTGTGCTGGTGAACCAAAAGCGAAAATCTCAGCCTGTTGTGGTGACATTAGCCATTGTATATGAAGAAAACGAGTAAGACGATAGATCTGTAAACATCCATTCCTTTTAATTTGAAGGAATCAGCACCGCATTTTCCAAAACTAATTATACATGGTATACATATCGAATATTAACCTCAAAGTGAAACCATCGAAAAAGATTCCCCTGATTTCACAAAAAAGGTTGGCGGTTACCAACCCAAAATGTGTTTGTTTTTCGCAGGATTTAATAATCTTTCGTATGAATTGCTGTAAACTCAACGCTCATCCGCGCACACAGGTGTAGAGGCTTGAAACAAAGAAGCGAGACCAGCGGTCTATCAGGTGTGGTGCGTTATATATCCTCGACAGGTCGGCAGGAGGCGTAATCTGGACGCTGAAGGAGATAGGGCTGGATCGATGAAGTAGAATCATCACTGTCGGTGGGCAAACATCAAGGATCGAATCCATGCCATGGAAGACGAGAGGATTTCCGATCACGAAGTTGAGATTCGCCAAACAGCTTCACACTTGTTGAGAAGAAAAATGTTCCTGCCTCTGGGGAGGGGTGGCGTCTCCTCCAAAGTTTTTCCATCGACGCCTCACTTACCTGGGTTGCTAATTTCCGTGAAACCACTGAAACCTAGGCCGTGATCGCCACAGCAAACATTTGGCACGCCCTGGAAGACGTACACCAAAGTAGAAATAGAAGAATAAAAAGGTAATTTTGAAATGATTACTCAATAGGCGTGCTTCTACATCATAGCTGTGGGAAAGTAACGCGGACAATTTTGAAGACGCTTCAGTTAGTTGTCCGTAATACGCTTGTGTGCACTTCGGCAATATGTAGTGCTGCTAGTACTGCCGAATTGTGGCCGATCTAATGTTGCTGTGAGTGGTCCAGCTTGAGGCTGCCTTGCGTGCTGTTTGAATTTGAATTTCTGAGGGTGGCTGCGACCTTTGGTCTGATTGTGAAGATAGACTCGTTTGCGCGGCCCCTTACGACCCAGCCCGATCCGCACTGGAAAGTTTACCGATTGAGAACTTCTTCAAATGAACTTGTGTTGAGTTCAATAGAAATAAAGTAACCTCCCTTCAAAAAGCGAGAAGTGTCGGGTGCAGACCAAACACCACAACTGACGACGGCCTCCAAGTAAATCTGGTTAGAAGTTGTTCATAGTGATAGCTGATTTCTGGTAAATGATAGTTGTAATTAGTGACAATCGATAGAATACAACTGCAACAGGCTAATCATTTCATTGGCAGAAAACATTAACATTTTGTGAAGGCCGTCGTCACTTGTGGTGCATGGTCTGCACCCGACACTTTCTCGCTTTTTGAAAAGGAAAGGTACTTTCGAATGAGGATAGCATACAAGACGCAAATCCCCCGAGCATTCAGTCTCGCGGTCCACTGCCGATGTCGACTAACCGGCTCATCACCTTAGGCTTTGTGTATTGATAAGCTAGAGTGAATATACCATCCAAAGTCAAATTATGGTCTAATAGTGCCCCCACGTAGTGCAAAACGCCAGTAAGCTACGAGAAGCAGTTTGAATTCGCCTGTACGTAAGACTTGTCATGATTTATGTTTGTGAATTTTCATGTGGCCTTCAAAGAATCATCCAGTGAATATAGAAAACGGTTGTCAGCTCAGTAGCCAAGAAAAGCGCAATCGTACCAAATTCTATTGACCGGGTCGACCTGTTTACCTAAGGTAATGTGCCTTTTCCTAACAGCATGTCCTGAATGTTTGAGTCATACATTAGCGATTTCTTGGAAAATTCGCAGAATTAGAATGACTGAAAATTAGAATGACTTCCAGAAGTATTCAACAGCGATACTCTTCCTAGAGGCTCCAAGTTGTTCAGTTTTGAGAAACTTTCTTTTTTTTTGTTGTTTTACTTCGCCCACTTATGTAACAAATTTCCAGGCATGATGTGTTCAGCAAATATCCCTGTTGAACCCGCGAGGCAAAGTTTTTGCCTGCTCAGATAGCCAAGGACACACTTTGGAGGCAAGGATCAAGGCTCAAAAAGTGGGTTATGTGTCTGAAGTATTGTCCGAAATTCATGAGAATGAGCTAAAGCCATTACCAAATCTGTTCACTTGCTCCTGCACTCGAATTTGAGCAGCCATAGCAAAATACATATTCGTACTACCCAAAGCTTGCCTGTCACTCAAAGTCTACCGAATGAAGGTCAACATCCGTAAAATCGAATACGATAGGAACAAGAACAACAACTACAGATGAGGTGGTGTGGAAACCTTCATTTTGTGGGCAGGATAGAGTAGTCGAGATCGCAAGTTGTCGCCGTTGTGCACGTGCTCGAAAGGCACGACAAGTAACGCGGGCCTTACAGAGTGAAGCTTAATGAGGGTTTATGCTATACTAATAGACGAGTCTACCTCGCGCAGCAGCCTCAGAGTGGATTATACGTGACGACTTTTGAATGCGTCTGCGGTTAGTGGAGTAAGGGACGCAATAGCAAGTTACACAACTCGTCCGGACACACCCATTCCTCATTTCAAGAGAAAGGATGGGAAGTCCTTGTTTGAGGGCCCACCGGCAGTTTGGTGGGTTTCGTTTCTTTTTCAGTCAACTCGGCATCTGCAGCTTCATTATCGACCACCGTTATCCCACCAAATTTGATCTGGGGTTGTTGTATCAAGTCAGAGAGAAGAGAGAGGTCAAAATTTGAGCTGTGTGCAGGTCCCGGATTCATTGCTAGGCATTTTGTCGGTGCGAAATACGCGCCTGGTTCTCCTAGCACATACCTTTTAATATGGGAGCTTATTCAAACCATAACAGCCATACATTTCTCCAAGCTGGTGAATGATTATCTGGGTATGTGAAGTGAAAAATCTGGGTATTGCGGAAAAGCAGAACTTTCATACAGAAATAGGAATACCGTATAGTTTACCCAGAAGCAAGAACCGTCTTCAGAAGTAGGCGCAAGCGAGTGGGCTGGCACCAAACCCAAGATGGGGATGTTTCCGTTGATGAACTCTTTCGGTAATTAGGCCTGACAGCTAAACGTCGCCATTGTCAGATGTTACAGAATTACCGCATTACGAGCCGCTCCCATCATGACCAAATCGGCGCTTACCAGTTGCTTAGACTGGATTTGTCGTCGGGAATGCAGGCGTTTAAGGAGAGTTTCTCCAGATCTCTCCCGCTCTCTCATCCATGACCATCACATCCACTTTCTCACCCAATCTTTTCCAGCTAGTCAGCACATGATTTATTGCCTTTTCTCAGTATAAAGCTCCCGATCGGCATGGGTAGCAGCACCGACGATCGCCTTCCTTCTTACATCCAATAAAAAACTTACAGCCTCCTTAGGGGGTACCACAGTGACAGTCATTTACAGTACTATGATTTAACAATAAAATATAGTCAATCAGAGTGGATATTCATTTCAAACCATTTGTATTTCTAGACGTTACATATTTATGTTTATCCTTATGATTGTTCCACTTTCGCATGATCCAACTGAGTTAGCACAGCCTGTCATTGGTCCTACTTTACCACCTGGCCTTCAAGATAGCTTAAGCATCGATTTGCAGATGAAGCTCATCGTCTTCGCAGTGCTTGTGGGTGCTGTCTACTGTATTCCTGTCGACAACGGGGTTGAAGGTGAACCCGAGGTGGAGTGTGGGCCCACAGCCATAACTGTCAACTTCAACACCAGAAACCCATTCGAAGGACACGTCTACGTCAAGGGTCTTTATGATCAGAAAGAGTGCCGAAACGATGAAGGAGGTCGACAGGTGGCTGGAATCGAGTTGCCGTTCGATTCTTGCAATACTGCCAGAACCAGGTGAACTTCACAGTCAAACAGAATTCTTTTGAGCTCGTATCAATTCGTGTTGTTCAGATCCCTCAATCCTCGTGGAGTCTTCGTCTCGACTACCGTTGTCATCTCTTTCCATCCTCAATTCGTGACAAAAGTCGATCGAGCATACAGAATCCAATGCTTCTACATGGAGTCTGACAAGACCGTCAGCACCCAAATCGAGGTCTCTGACCTGACCACCGCCTTCCAGACACAGGTTGTACCAATGCCCATCTGTCGTTACGAGATTCTCGATGGAGGACCATCCGGACAGCCCATTCAGTTCGCCACCATCGGTCAACAGGTTGGGAGACAGCGCTTGAAAGATCGTCTTTTGCATTCAACTCGATTCCTTTTAGGTGTACCACAAGTGGACTTGTGATTCCGAGACCACCGACACCTTCTGCGCCGTCGTTCACACCTGCACTGTTGATGATGGAAACGGTGATACGGTACAGATCCTGAACGAGGACGGATGCGCCCTTGACAAGTTCCTCCTGAACAATCTCGAGTATCCTAGCGATCTGATGGCAGGCCAAGAGGCTCACGTCTACAAATACGCAGACAGGTCACTTCATACTGAACCATCAGCTCAAAGAGCTTAGCCCACCCCTACGATGATAGTACCGGGTTTTCTATACACCTTTTTCAGATCACAACTGTTCTACCAGTGCCAGATCAGTATCTCAATCAAGGTACCGATTCTTTGAGAAGAAATATCCAAAATTTTTCTCATGTGCAAATTTTAGGACCCCGGAAGTGAGTGCCCTCGTCCATCGTGCCGCTGAGCCCACTGGTTTCGGAGCCGTCAAGCAGGGAACCCCTAAAACTGATGCAGTTGCTGCTGGTGCTGCTGCAGGAGCACCCGGAGCAGTGGAAGCTGCTGGAGCAGCTGGAGGAGCCGCAGGTGGAGCTGCCGGTGGTGCAGCTGGTGGAGCTGCAGGAGCCGTTGGGGCAACCAGAGGAGCTGCAGCTGGAATTGCTGCCGGAGCTGCACAGTTGAGACTGCTAAGAAAGAGAGCAGTCAACAATGAGGCAATTCTGGATGTTCGAGCTGAGATCTCAGCAATTGAGATCACCGACAACGTAAGTTGAACACATTTTCTGCAGGTCCTTATTTGATCACTATGAAAGTACTGCTTCAGGACTCGCTGCCATCAGCACTTCGAGCCATCGCACCAGCTGCGCTCGTCAGCAACGACCGCTTCGACTCCACCGTGTGCCTGTCTCCTCTCTCGTTCGCTGCTTTCATCGGCCTGGGAATCCTTCTGGCCACGGCTCTATCTGCCTTCGTTTTCTACACTGCACGACCCCATCACAAGTTCTAAGCGGCAGAAAGCGTACGGCAACCATATGAGGTGATTTCACTGGTCAATCCAATCAATGCCTATTCTATTCAGTGCGACTTCACTTCACAATACCTCGCTTGGTTGCTCTACAGCATCGCCGCTGCCTTCTCCCCATGCTGCTGTGTCGTCGTGTGGACGAACCTCGTCCGCTCATATCGCCCTCTCTGGGTGTCGTGCAATAAACCAGTTCGTAGCGAATGAAGATTTCTATCTCAAAATACAGCATTTTCAATTACAGTCTGCAAAAAACATACACAGCTGCACAATTTTTTCACTATACTTTCCCTTGAACCCGGTTCTACACAAGGGGGTTTCTGAACAGCATCAGCTGCCTTATAACTTGTGGCCGTTTGCGGACTACTTGAACGTGGTCCTTCAAACCGCCTCAACTTGATGCTCCACCTGCGCTCTCTCGCCTAAACAGTGGCTCATGACTACTGTGATCTCACACATTCGAAACTTTTGCCACACTGTATTGCCTCACGCACCCCACTCACCCCCCTAGATTGCCCTCCCCCCTGGTTCACGTATCTCCCGTGTGGCAACGTGAGAATGGGCGGTCGGCGCCGTTCTCCAATTGTCAGTGCCCTAGCCATTCACGGCAGGACCACCAAGAAAGTTCAAGTAGTCTATGAACCGACTTGCGGCAGACCTTGCCAAGGGATCTTCTGATTCCCTTGTTGACAGTCTGTTATTTTATACGCTCTCAAATAGAAACACGGGGCATAAGCTAGCTGAATCGAGGCCGATCTCGATTTCGACCAGATCATGATATCAAAGAAGGATTCTATGACAAGGTCTTAGATCGGAGAAAGGGGTGCGGGAATATACGCGTTTTGCAGTGATCGCTATGATCCTCTCCGGTCTAACAGACCATACTCTTCCCGCTCGCGTCGCTGTCCGCCCAGCCTCTCGCCGTCTGACTGTAGCGTTCAGCAAAGAGAGCGTTAGGGCAGCATCGATGAGAGTCGCATCAATGCGAAATCAACGGGCAAGGAAGGGGTCCCATTTCTCGGGTTCTGGGCCGTTTCTCATGGTTTTCCTTCATCCGTGCACCACTGACCACATCTACCATTTACTTTATTTCTAATGGGCTTGCTTTTTCATCGTAACTCCGCACTATGATCATCATTTAATATGAACAAATGAGAAAATTCAGTGCAGTGGCAAGGGTTACCCAGCAAACAGGGTCAACCCTGTCGTTGGTACTTTTGGAATTTTTTTACGACCCCACCCCTTCATGGGCAATTTAGGTGCAATAATATGAAAACTAGAGAAAGCATTTTGAATATGTTGAATCGCGCCCTGGCGATGGAGCGCGTTTGCTGATCGGAAACAGGTGACGAACGGGGATATTGAAATGTAGACGAATTTTTCTTCGTTAAATTTCAGGTACTTCGGAAGATGGAGGTGGATTTTGGATCATGAGGCTCAGCCTTTCTAACAAAGCTCATTTGTTCTCAAACAATTTGAAATGAATAAGTTATTAAGCAAGAAATAAAATTGCACTACAATTTTTACCTTCGTTCCTAGGGCTACAACTTCGCTTT